CATGTATTTTTTATATATAATATATAAAAATACTATATTAATACTCTATATAAAGGAGTGAAATCAAGCTAATTCTATATTTCAGATTCTGTGATTTTTATTAATCTGTAGATTTTACTTTAAGAATCTGAATCTGCTGCAGATTCTGACCCCCCCTATCTGAATCCAACTCATTGCGGATTCGGTGCGGATCAGATCAGTTTTTGCGGATTGGAGATGACACTCTACTGGTTTCTAAGGCAGCGCCTAGCAGGATAATAGAGACTACTACTACTATTTACTACGTACTACTTATAATTATAATAAAATGATAATAGCTGTTTTATATCTGCTTGAGTTTCATACTTGATTATAGTTCTAAGTTACGGCTAGTCCTAAAGTTAGTCCTGTGCAATATAAATACTATGTATTCTCTCTAATCTTGCCCCGCTGTTCCCGGGAGCGGCTGTCGCTCCGCGCCAATGCGAATCCCCGCAGGGCGGCTTGCTTAGCCAACCTGTCCACCTCCTTGTTCCCGTCGCGCGCGGGAAATGGGGATCCACCACAGGGTCATCCGGATGCCGGCGCCCTGACCTTGGTACCACAGGGGATACTATAGTGTTACCATAACTAATGTAACCAGGACAGCCTAAACACCCACATGGGTTCAGAATGAATATGATTATGTTATGCAAGATATTTTATGTAAGAATACTTGAGACACTCCAACCAACCAGGATACAAATCAAGCCTCAAGTGTTAGGCCCATGCTTGTCACTCAGATTCACCGCAATGAATGATTTTGGAAGTTCAACACTGAAATAGAAAGTTAGTTCTGTCACTGTAATAGATAAATCATAATTGGCTCTAGCCTTTGGTGCGGCAGGAGGTAGCCAAAATCAATGTAACTCACGTGTTGAATTTAGCCTTGAGAGTCTCAATGACTTCCTTCCAATCTTTATGAGCTGTCAAACTTCGTCTAGGTGCACAACCAATGGCATGCCTAGCATCAAGTTGCACATCCAGTGGGTCAAATGCATGACACCCAGGGCTGATAGAAATCCGAATTGAGTAAGAATTTGTTGATGATTCGCAATCCCGAGCTTCATAAAGCTCAAAGCAGATCTGAGATAAATAATCCAACTCGGGAATAGCGGTTCGGGCAATTTTAGTCTGTATACCACCTTCAAGGATGCAGTTTAGAAGGGTGTAGATATGTGACTCTTTTGTAAAATAGAAAAATGACTTCGCATCTGTCGAGGCTTGCACTTCTTCTAGATCCCTTACAATCTCCTGAAGAAGGGGTAAGGATGTCAGTAGACCAATCTCCAATTTTTCTGTATCTGTAATGCCGTATTCCTGAGGTGTCACGTAGTCAAACAAGACCTTAGCCAGTTTGTATAGCTCTCTCAATTTTGACAGTCTCGCGTCCACTTTGGCCTTTGTGGAGCTAGAACCTGGGTATAACTTGAAGTAGTGATCGTAAGAATCATCAAGGGCTCGTAGGTGTGGGATTGGTTCGAAAGCATGCAGCCTTTTTCTTAGACTAAATCGGCGAGTGAATGTCGAATTATCTCCATGCTCTCCACTCCTGTCTGTGTTCACATCGCTGTTCGATCTAATGTCCTCGAATGACTCGGAACTTTCGTCATCAGGGGGCATGAAGACCCACTCCAGAAATTGCCGATTATGGAGAGCATCGAACTTCATGCTATCGTATAGCTCTGAAAGTTTACTAGGATCGACCTTTTCTGTATCACAAAACTCGGCAAATAATTTCTCCCATCTCTCCTTAAAAAGCATGGGGTCCTCGCCGGTGCACCATCGCCCTTGAATAGAAGAGATATCAGTGTTCTCAGTGAATCCACTAGGAGAGGAACTCGCAGGGGTCGTTGCTGGTCGGACATGTGAAGCATTGTTATCAAGTCTTCGAAAATTGTGACGCATAACGTCCCGATGGAACTTCATCAGCTCAACAACAGTAGCCAAGACGACCGAGGGTTCGGGGATATTATCCTTCGGCCAGGTGAACTGAGATGGGGCAGAGCCTTCTCTAAGAAGCAGTTTCAGCTTCTTTTTTACCTTATCCATAAGGTCTTTTGCAGCGTTAGAGTCATCTAAGAGGTCCTTCCGTACTTGTATGAATCCCTCCGGAAGTTCCTTTTGATCCAGAAAGGAGCAAGCCCAAATTTGAGCTGCAAAAAAGTCAATTAGCTTGTTATATGCCAAAACCAATGGTGCAAAGTTACTCACCGCTGGTGCTTACACGTCGTTCCGAGCTAGTGAATATCCGGACGTTGTTCAATGCTTCTTTATTCATCAGTTTCAGGTCATCACGGATGTTGAGTCCTAGGTCCTGTGACTGGTAACGAGCAGCATGAGTTGGTTCCCCACCCCATTTAATGACGAGCTGGAGTTTATCAAGGATAAGGTCATTCTCGGCAGCAGAGAACCTCGAGAAAGTGGCACCAGATATCGAGTCACTCCGTGTTTGAGACCTGCTCAAGCTCTTCTCTCTCGGACAACTTTCTGGAATATTTTGAACATTCGATTCTCCCCCATGAAGTTCGTCGGGAGTTCTTTTGCGAAACATCGGCTTGATTTGAACTTTAGTTCCAGGCCAACCACCTTTTTTGTCGAGAGATGTGCGGAGTAATTTCAATTTATCCATATCTTCGAGTTCCTGAGCCATTGCGACTCTGACAGCATCAGAAACACTGGCCAGTGCAGCCTTCCCTTTGATCACCACTTCTTCCTGATGCCCTTTCAATAGATCAATAAACGGCTGACTATGGAAGGTGAACTTGAACTTTTGTTTGGGTGTGCGATCTGCATGTCTAATGACGGCTACCATGCCCTTCAATTTCCAAGAGTGCTTGGAGGCTGGAGGTGGAGGAGCACCTTCGTTGGGTGCGTCCATAACTCCAACCGGTGGCTTGCCGTCTTGCACCGTGTAACCAGTGGTGTTTGACTGTTTGTCCTTTGCTGTAGTATTTCTGACGATTTTGCTAGCATCTGGACATTCCTTTCCAGGCGGTTCGACAAGTCCTGCAGTAAGAGCTTCAGGCAAGTCATTATCGGAGGTCCTGTTGTGCTGCTGGCTCCCGTAATGTTTTGATGTACTTGGCGGTTTCAGTAGAGTTTTCAGCGCTTGTCTATGTGAGACAGAAGACCTCCAAGTATGGCCGGCGTCGGAGGAGATCGTGTCAACAACTTCGGAAAGCCTCCGCTTTTCACCAAGGAAAGTGTCGCGGAGGATGCTAGCACATCGATCATAGTAATCGTTGTTGTCTTTGACAAAACTCCATCCATTGACGTCTATTACGTAGCTTCGATCCCCAACCCGTAGCATGTCAAAGCCGCAGATTCGCTGGCCGAAACCGTTGGATATTTTCGAAGCAATTAAAGCTTCATCCTTGCTCAAATTCGTTATATATCTCAGCTCTTTACCGTGTGTATTTCGCCGAACGAGCCCATCAACCACTGGCGACTTTCTTGTTTCTGCATGGCAAAACTCTGGACCGACGGTATAAGCTTTGACGTCCTCGGAGTTATCCACCCTCAAGAACTGCTCATAGATGTAGCTGGCGCCCTTATCTGTTATCGATCGGGGAACAGTAAGATGAGGGTCATATTCGGAACTTTTATTGCCCACTTTTCGAAAAAGCTTTCTGCCACCACCACCATACTGTTGGTCATTGGGAAAATAGATATGGATATTGTGATCTTCTCCGTCGGTCGGTTTTTCGACGAATGGTTTTCTGAACATCTTCCCGTCAACGATCAACGAATCACCATCATCTGACATTGATACGCTTTTCGTTTTCGCAGCGCCCCCGCCCGTCCCATCTCCAGGCCCTTCAAGTCTGACTCCTGTGAGTCTATTTACATGCTGTGCAAGCTCTGGAGACTCCAATGTTGGCCCACCATCGCGGTTGACTTCTAGTCGTTTTGGCGTTGGAACATTCATTTGGTCTAGAATTTTCAAACACAGACGACGATCCCATAGAACTTTCTGCATTGGCAGATCATTCACACAAAATGGTTTTCGAAGTTTAGCGTATGCGATAGCCTTGTCCAATGGAAACCCGTCAGAGAAGAAAGCAATCAAGAAGTCACAAACAGGCCAATTTTCTACAGCCTCATCAAGAATGACTTTATCACCAAAAACAATCACTTCAAACCCTCCTTTAGATTGAAGGCGTGTCAAGATGTTCTGACTGGGCTTGCTGCGAGCTTTCACATCCAAAGCGCATACACCAATCTTCCCGAGGATTGGAGGTGCTGGCTCCACTTCACTAAGAGAACTTGTAACTGTACTGCCACTCAATCTTCTCGGTGTCCTGCTAGACGAGCGAGTGGATGGCATGCATTGGTTATCTTGAATATGATCAATGCCATGACTTCTCGATTGCTGCTTATGGGTGCTATGCAAGTTGCTCATGGACGGAATAAATGCTGTATCTTTGTAAAGCCGACTCGAGGAAGCCCTGTCTGCATTATCAGGACTTACGCCGTCATGATCAGATAACTTTGCATTGCCCACTATATTGCCACTGGCAACCTCAGCAGACAAGTTGGTGTTGTGCTCATGATCGCGATTCATTGAAAACGACGCAGGCGGAGTAATTGGTGATAAAGTGATAGGAATTTTGGTCTGGGTTATGCGTCTTCTGAATTGGTTACTGTTGATAAATGCGAAGGAAGATGATGCGATTGCTGTGGATTAAATGTGCGGAAGTCCTATCTCGGATATGACGATGGCGACTCGGGAGGAATTTACCGCGCCCGGCGTAAGCAACACCGAAGGGAAGGGTCAACCCAGCATGGCCTTGGAGCGATAAGCTCTTGGCATGACTAGAGATTTTTAACCGGGTGAGCCACCGACGGCCGTCCAAGAGTAGTTTAGTGGGTATGTTACTTACTCGTATTTGCATACCGGTAAGATACAGCGGAACAACTAAAAAAAAAAAAAAAAAGAACGAAGGGAGAGAGATAGAAAACCCTATCATCTGTTCAAGCTTAAAGGGCACTACATGATCGACCTTAAACCTCTTGAGTCGACAAAAATGCCATCTGTTGACCAGGAAGGATATCATCTGCCTCTTTTGAAGCGGCAGAAAAGAGCAATCGACAATGAAATTCACAATGCGCCAAAGTCAGGGTCTAAGATCTTTTCCCCATTTCGAGTGAGTAAAGATAACGACAGGCCATATTCTTTCGATTCATACATATGAGTTCCCTAAACAAAGCATACCAAGATCAATAGGCGGGCTTGGTTATCAGTGCTAATTCATACAATACAGACATTAGGTCTGGTGTCTCCAACAACCGTGCCCTTCACCTCCGTTCGCTTAGGCAAATCTACGTTCCAAATCACAACTTCCATAGGACGCTCATTGCAGACCTATGATCTGCGGCGAGGACTAAATTTGGTCTTCATAACGAGACCTCTGACCCCAGATTTAATTACTGCCACATGTGCATGGCAAGATAAGATTTTTGCGGCATGGGGAAATCTCCGGCCTAATTCTCCCGGAGGCATCTGGGTCTTCAAACGCGGAAAAAAAATCGCATCCTTGGATATACCCGCTGAATGTACTGGGCCAGTCAATCGATTACTTGTTTTCGGGTCGTGGGTTGTAGGTTGCAGTGAAAACTGCATACAAATATGGAAGAATATATCCCACGATCACTACACCACTCTCAGGCCTCCACCGTCTCGAGAATCGTCCGAGAGGGGTCTATACACAAACGAAATCTGTACTATGCCCACATATATTAACAAGGTTTTCGTCGGGCGCTATGATGGGGGAGTGGACATTTGGAACGTCAAAACGGGAAAGTTGATCTACTCAATACTTCCGCCTTCTTCTAATTGTGGAGCTGTCACTGCACTGCAGCCCACTCCGGTGTTGTCTCTTCTTGCTATTGCGTACGATAGCGGTACACTTGACATTCGGAATGTCGAAACCGGCCGCTTCATTCTTCATCTGGAGCCAGCTTCCTCGCGCATGGAAAAGGTCACATCATTCGCATTCCGGAGCGATGGTTTAGGTTCTGGAGACGATGGCCGAAAAGCGGGTGTCATGGCAACTGCGAGTTCGGAAAGTGGGGATATCAAACTCTGGGATCTGAATAACGGCGGCAGAGTGATGGGTGTTCTTCGAAGTGCTCATCTGCTTTCTGAAAATGAACCAGGGTCTGGCGTTACCCACATCCAGTTTCTAGATGGGCAGCCTCTTTTGGTCTCATCTGGAAAGGATAATTCACTAAAAACCTGGATTTTCGATGAAGTACCATTTTCACCTATTCCGAGACCTCTTCATTCCAGAGGCGGCCATGCATCCGCAATCACTTCTCTCGGCTTCCTCCCCTCATCATCTGACGGGTCTGAATTCGGCGGTAAATGGCTACTAAGTGCAAGCAAGGATGGTGGTCTCTGGGGCTTCAGTGTTCGAAAAGACAGCCAGAACACCGAAATTTCTCAAGGTGCTGGGAAACAGAGATCGAAAAAAGTCATCGGATTGGAAGGTGTGGGTAGCTCGGTACAAAATGTGCCGCTGAGGACTCCAGAGATAACCTGCATTGCCTGCTCCCTCAATCGTGACGGCGGAATGGGTCTTACAACATCAGGTCCAGTTTGGACAAATCCAAGAGTCACCAATACAGATGCCTCGAACAAAACAGGCTGGGAAAGTATAGTGACTGGCCATCGAGGTGATAAGTTTGCACGGACATGGTTTTGGGGCAAGAAAAAAGCTGGACGTTGGGCCTTTGAAACCAGCGATGGAAGTGAGGTCAAGGTATGCTATTATCCTTTGATATCGGTCTACTAAAGCATAGCTGACCGGGTCTGGTGGTGCCTATAGAGTGTTGCTGTATCAAATTGTGGCACTTTTGCTTTAGTTGGATCAGCTGCGGGATCGATTGATTTGTTCAACTTGCAGTCAGGCTCATACCGGCAGAGCTTTCCCGCCCGCGATCAACGGGCAAATATTAAGTCTGAGACCAAATCGCACCCCAGCTCACAAAGTAACAACACAAAACACACTAAAGCCGTTACTGGTTTGGCAATCGATGGGTTAAATCAAGTTGTTGTTAGTTGTGGCCTCGATGGGAAGATCAAGGTAAGGAAAAAGAGAACCTGCATTTTGGGAGCAGTACTAACCTGGAAATTGGGAACAACATAGTTTTGGGACTTTGTTACTGGAATCCTCATTGATGAACTCAATTGGTATCCAATGACATCAATCACTGGCCTTCGGTACAGCACTACAAGTGAACTCATCGCAGTCAGCTGTGATGATCTTTCAATTCGGGTTGTGGACCTTGAAACAAGAAAGGTAGTGCGTGAGTTCTGGGGGTGTGTCGGCCAGGTGAATGACTTGACATTCTCTTACGATGGGAGGTGGGTAATTGCAACCTCGATGGACTCCGTCATTCGAGTGTGGGATGTGCCCACAGGACATCTCATCGACCTCTTTCGTCTTACCAGTACGTGCACTGCTTTGGCCATGTCATCAACCGGCGAATTTCTCGCTACAGCCCACGCCGACGGGGTGGGCGTCAGTCTTTGGTCGAACCGAGGTCTTTTCACCCCAATATCATGCCAAAACCTAGATGAGAGTAATATTGCAAGTGTCGATTTTCATACCGCCGCTGGAGAAAATGGTGGAGGAGCAATTGAGGCTGCATTCTCCGAAGCTCCTTCGGCAAGTGAAGTGGAGGGCCCGTTGCTAAATTCGCAGCAACTCGACCGGGAGATGCTCACACTGAGTAAAGTTCCAAAAAGCAAATGGCAGACACTACTCAATCTGCACATTATCAAGGTAAATGAACATTATTCTCCTCTTCCATTCACTTACTGACGTCTACACAAGGAACGCAATAAGCCAGTTGAACCTCCCAAAGCTCCACAGAAGGCTCCCTTTTTCCTTCCCGCAGCACATGATGTTTTGGAAAGTGACACCAACGTTGATCTTGACCGGGTGACCGAAAGCACAGTGACCGAACGGTCGAGGATTGCCAAGATGTATTCTTCTGAATCCTCTTTTGTCACACTATTGAAATCGGCGTCCTTATCGGGAGACTTTGAGTCTTTTATCGAACACCTGAAGAGCCTCCCGCCTGCAAAAGTCGATGTCGAGATAAGATCTCTGAGCCCACAGGTTCGGGAAGGGCAATCTGAACTCTCGGCCTTTGTATGCGCACTGTCGAGTCGGCTACGGTCAAAGATGGATTTTGAGCTGGTCAATGCTTGGATGGCAGTGTTCCTAAAGGCGCACTCTGACGTCATTGAAAGATGCTCGGGATCAAATACAGACGAAGACAGTGTGTTGAAAGATGCTCTCGACACCTGGACCCGTGTGCAACGGATTGAAGCGCGACGTTTGACCGAACTGGTGGGGTATTGTCGAGGTGTGGTGGGATTTCTCAGGTCGTCACGGTAGATCAGTTCTTGATTAATCAATATACTCAAAGCAATTGCCTACGATATGAGAATTAGCTCGTGTGCATATTCTAAATGTAGTATGTGTTAACGTTTTCGCATACATAAATGTAGCATGACTATAGCCTCCCAAATTATGAAAGAGTAAATAGAATTGAAGTGTTATTTTAATTTTGCGAAAGAAGCTCAAACATGTTGCGGTGTCTCTTTTCAGGTACTTTCCGATCCAAACTAGACCCAGCCCGCCTGTTTGCTGCCACAGCCGAGGTGTCATTCCCACCAAGGCAGTGCGTTGCTTCCTTGGACAGTGAAATTGCAGTAACATTATCGTCTTCTGAGGAGGGAAAAAGTTGACCGAGTAGCTGTTCAACGGCAAATCCAGACAGGCATTCCGTTGTAATCTCCTGCAAAGATCTCGTGATAACATGGAGAGGTGGAAGACCGCCAAGCACGGATTTCAAACAGCCCAAATGACCAGATGAGGCCACGGAAATTCCAGTTAATTGCTGGAGAATCCTGAGGGAGTAAAGAACTGACTGGATCTGTGCAGAGAGATGGACATCAGCCCATCCTACTGCTGCACCCATGCGGCCGAACCTCAGAAACTGGCTTAACTGTCCAGCACTAAGAAAGGCGGATGCTCTTCCCGGGCCATATAGCTCATACAACGCTAATACTCTCCAAAAGAATGGGGAGCTCGTGTCCCCTCCAACTGTGCTCTGCACCGATCGATATCGGCTTAAAAAAGCCTGTGTCTCTTCGGCAATCCAATCTTCGTCCTCGAGTGGTATCCTGTCCCGGATTATTCTTCCTCCCCGGCGCACATACTCGTAGATGTAAGTATGTTTATCTGATGGAGGGAGAGTAGCATTGAAGACGGAATACCCAAGGCGCCTATAAAGACGGCTATCCCACCAACCGCACCTTCTCATATGGTCTTCGAACAAGATCGGCAAGTACATGTGTGGTATTTCATCTAATATGCCGGCATGTTGTACTTTGCACTGGCAAAATAGCTCCGAAACCCTTGCGTCGAGATTTTGGGGCAGAGCTTGCACTGAATCTCCAGGAAAGTACACTGAGTCCCTGCCAATGTACTCACCGGCAAAAAGGAGGTACCGTGGATCGTTTGACTGGGTCTCATACGTGGTTTTGGATAATTGAATGAGCCCAGTCAACCCCATATTTGGGTTGTCTCTCAAATGGTAAGCTAGAAACAAAAAATCGCTGACACCAAGGCGACTGGAAACAGCGGCTGGACATATTCCCAAAGCTTTGATTTGCATATCCGAATGTGTACCTGTATTGCTGTCAGATAAATTAATAGAGTCCAGAAACACCACAGATCCAGCTGAGTGAAGATCATATAGCATAAGATCAGAGTCATTCGTCAATATGGATGAGCCTGTGTTATTCGCTATGTAAACACATTGACTGTCAGCTTCCCCTGGAACCATCACTGTTCGGTCTGCCCAAGGGAAATCTGCGCAATCAAGGGCCAGCGGCTTTCGGAAAATGCCGTCAACCACTTCTGAAATCCTGACCCGATTCCATCGGAACTTGAGGTCCTCAAAGACTGCTGGAACAATGAAAGGGTTGTGTGGAAAGTCATTGTACCTCGCAGGTACAGTTCGGCTTCGTAGCACGTTTGCAAAATCGACAATACGGCGTCCATGAGCTCTACTCGATGGTGGAGCCCAGGATTTGAATTTAGATTGGAAATTTTCGAGTCTCTTTCTAGAGTGCTCAAGCCGGGATACACGTGTCTCTCGCTTTGAGGCAGGTAAGGCTCCATCAAAACAAATTTGTTCCCTATGTATAATTAGCGGCGTAGAGATTATACTGCTATCAATTATGTACACTTTCACCCCAACAATGCTTAGGTGCAGAAGATATATCAGAACCCCCAGGCTCACCTCATCACAAGTGGGTTGAGCATCCTGAGACTGGACGCCCGGGTCCATCCAGGCTAATAATCGTGAAAAAACATGATAAACCATACTAGGGCCATCAATGACGACAGATTGGATACATCGTAATTCTCCTTGTGGCGTGATGTTTCTGCCATCAAGTAGGATCGGCTCGGAGAATGGGCTTATAACGCGAGTTAACCGCGGTATACCCATATTTGCGCTTATTATGTTGAATGCTGTATAGCTATTAATTCTTTTTCTCGGGATACAATGTTGGGACAGTTGAGCACTCAATACAAAACTTCCGACCACGTGACTGTTATTTGAAGGCAAAACCTGCTCGATATGTCACCCAACACTATGTAGAGTCAAAACTTTTAGGCTATTTTCAACTTGTGAAACTGTTTATTACCATTTATTAGATTCACTGTGTGGTCATAGTACATGCTACGCTCAGAGCATGGAAAATCAATTCGACGTGCTAGGGTCTCTGTACATAGAAAGTTTCCGTGAAGGCCTGTAATACTAGACCGTATTTAAAAAATCAACTTTATATTTTTGTCATCTTTTTTTGGTAGGAAACCACATGGCATGAGAATCAAGCGAATTATTGAACCTCGAATTTTGTATTTGTCAACCTTTACGATCAACAAGCCCACCGCCAGTATATATAGGAATTAATATATTGAATTCATCGTCTATTTTCTGTCGGCTATTGCAGGTCTGTTCATGTCATGAACAGTCTTTTCAGTCATTGAGATCTTGGCTTCCTTGCGAAGTGTGGCTGACTTTGTATGACTGGTAAGACAGATATGAAATACACAACTACGCAATATAAGTCACTGAGTTGGTTGATTCTGTGAGGCACAATGCCCTAGGTACGCAGTACATCTTGGGTGTATGAGTCACATGACCAGCATCATTGTACTTAAGTATAAGCACCATTACCGATGGCAGGAGGAGGGGGAAATTCTCCGGACTGAATAGTAAGGCTGAGCCAATAGCAGCACCACTCAGGGTCCACTTATCGCTCGCACTGCAGTAATCATATAGGTGGTACCTGTAGTAGGCCCAGCCGGGCTGTGTGCCTCCTTAAGCAGGGTCGGAGGTAGGTGTGGCCATAGTAAGCAGTAGTCTTGGAACTACTCCATACCTTAGTATCGAGCGCCTCGCCCCAACTATTCCGATTCTTTTCCCTTCCGCAGTGTACTTCATTTGATGATCTCCAAGAACCGAGTCATTTATCTAATCTGGGAGATATCAATACAACTCCACATCGTGATTATACATCCTCTGGAACAAGGAATATCATAACAATGACGCACTGTTCCGAAAACGCGCTTGCAAGTAAAACACCGAGTGCTTGCAGGCTCTCAGATAACCTCCTCGAATGCTGTGACTCTCGGGGGCAAGTCCAGTCGACTGTCACTCTTGACGATGTAGTGTGTATCTTACCACCAAAGGATGACCATGCCAAAGAGGGCTTTACTCTGCTATACGTTCAGAAGAACCACGAAGATGAGAGTCCTGGGCTGGTCCACAAAACATCGCTCCAGAGCATCCTACTACTTTCCCCACCACAGGGGTTACTGTCACAATATTTGCTGGCAAAGATCCCTCATCATCTTGATTCCTTAGACAATAATCGCAAGCTTTATATTGTTATATCTACTCTCTCGGGAACTTGTATAGCTCTGGATTTTTTCAACAGCGTTCTAAGACCACTCTTAGCGAAGATTGGCCTATCTCACTACGAGACCCATGAAACAAGCTCGGAGCAAACTATCACTGAACTGTGCTTGTCAAAATTCATTCCTTGCGCCAAGGCAGGGGTCGCCCAAACGATTATACTTCTTTCGGGTGATGGGGGCCTCACTGACATCGTCGACTCGTTTCATCGATCTACAGAGAAAATGCTAGTATCTCCTGATATTGCCTTGATCCCGGCAGGCACAGGGAATGCTATGGCAAATTCCTTGGAATTGCTCTCAAAGTCTACAACTAGCCTGGTGACATTACTGCGAGGAAAGCCAACAGGTATACCTGTATTCTCTACCCAATTTTCACCAGGGACACATCGTGTTTCTGGGGAAGACCCCATCAACGATTCGTTAAGCAGAGACCCAACGGAAGACACATATCCAAGGACCTACGGAGCTGTTGTTGCAAGTTGGGGTCTACATGCTTCCCTGGTTGCTGATAGCGACACCGCAGAATACCGTGCCTACGGGAGTGATCGGTTTAAGATGGCTGCCAAAGAGCTCCTATATCCTTCAGATGGCTCTGAGTCCCACATATATAAGGGCATGATTACCCTGAGAAAGATAGACAGCCAGGGACATCAAGGCGCGGAAATCATGAGGCAGCACGAACACATGTATGTGTTGGTGACTTTGGTACCTAAGCTCGAGAAAGAGTTCATGATATCCCCGTCATCAATCCCACTAGGTGGTAGCTTGAGGATGATTCACTTTGGCCCAGTGTCTCCTGAACGCGCCATGGATTTGATGGCCTTAGCGTACCAAGGAGGTGGCCACATTCGGGAAAGTGAAGTCTTCTACTCGGATTTCGAGGGGGTAAGAATTGACTTTCAGGAAGCTGACGAGAGATGGCGACGGGTGTGTATTGATGGGAAGGTGTTTGTTATCGAATGCGGGGGTTGGATGGAGATACACAAAGAGCCTAGATGTTTATTGAAAGTTTTCTCATCCGTCACTGACTAAAAAGTGACAATTACGCCAGGTAGCTGGCCACATTTAGAGTGCGCGGTCAGTGACATAGAAGTCAATAAAATATAAATTTTGTTATAGGTCACTTGTCCGAGTTGATTTACTTATTAGGTTTGAGAGAGACAATCAAACCCAAGTGCCATTTTGGACTGTAGGAAGCGTGCTGCTAATCTGGAAAAAAACCAAACTACGGTGAAATCAGTAGCTTGCTCGGCAATTGACTTCCCAGACATCCCTGAGATAGATACAGAATATCTACCTCCGTAGTTAGTAACTATGCTCATGTTAAGATGTTGGACGTGTCAGCGTCAGGCCGCCATGTGATTGTCTTAGTCAACCAACCTACCCCCTTTGTACATAGCCACCGCGGCACACGGAGTACAGAGTCTGTAGATCAGCGATTAGTCCTTCGGGTACTCTGTACATACCCCCTATTCTCCGTACTCCATACTTCTATATGACATTTACCAACACCACTGAGCTCAATCTTATCCTCACTCACCTAAAACCCTGACATCATATAACAACTAGTAAAAGTTAAGGGGTTGTCGGGGGTTGACTAAGCACCCGCATTGTGTGACATGAGGCTCTTGTGGCTGACAGCAGAAGTCCGAGTTGAAAGGGCTTGAACGGAGTAAATCCTGGAATTGAATCTGATAATTCAAGAGATGTGTTGTATCTGTCAATTTTCTTCGTAGTTCTCTGGTAGTCTCTGTCTCCGAAATTGGGCGGGTATTGTTTTGGAAGGTTTCAAGCATGTGGTTGGTATGGATCTCGTCAAGTGGCAAGCCGTCGGGGACGAGGAAGTCGGAGACACATGATTTTATACCATATAGTCTCAACACTCAGAGGGTACAAATTTGTCCATGCACATTACTAGCTCACTTGCAGCGACCAGCGGGCTCTTCAATCAACCAAGTAACAACAAAACACCCTATCTTAACAAAGGTGTATCTACTACAAGCCCCCGGAAATGCACCAGCGAACTCGCTAGTGGAACCACGGAAATGAAAGCAGCAACATCAGTCACCAATGCTCATCACACCCCGAATCTATTCCGCGTCGCAGATACCAGATCGAGGATCATTTTTACTAAGCCGTGAAAACACCTCAGCAATCCACTCCCTCACGGGGTGGACCCCCGTCTCTACCGGTACCAAGAAGGCCACTACGGAGACAATGCTATTACTACATCAAGCTGGTAGCGTTCGTGTAGGAGAGGTAGTCAGGTTCGTCGAGTCGATATCAACCTCCCCTATTATCATGCCATCATTACTCTTGGTCTACATCTAGAACAATTTGTTGATGATACTGACACTGAATTTCTCGACAGGTATACGTTGACTTATGATCCGGCAACCGACAATTTCCGCCCAGCCCCCTCCGAGTTATACGTCAAAGTCAAGAATACATCCGCAATTCCATTGCGAGCAGCATACCTCCATGGCCCTTACACACTTTATGTGTCATGCTACCCGTCTACATTTGACCCGAACGTAAAACTAGGTCGGCAAGACACCGAGAATGCACCCCAGTTTGAGCCTTACCTGAAGGCGGGTGGAAGTTGGGGTGCGACTATTGCCATCCCTCAAGTCGCGCGGCGAGACTTAGAAGACCCCGTCACTACAGCACCTTCAAACAGCAATAAGGTGACCTGGGTTATCGAGATAATATCGCAGGTATTATTTTCGAATTCAGCTTCTGTCAATTTTGAGCTGCTTGTCGGTCGCGACCAAACTTCGGTAGAGTCATTTGCTGCAAAAGGAGCGCTAAGAGGTGGCGGCACTAGACCAGCTCAGCTAGACGATCACTGGTCTTCTGAGACACGAGGGAGACAGACATTTGCAACAAATGGGGTTTTCTCTGACTCTCTTACATTACAAGTAGATGACACTGTCAGCCTGTGGAACACGCCGTCATTCCCAGCATGCAGTGTGAATAAAGAAGCCGATGAAACAGGTGTCACTGATTTTCTCCAACCCACGGCTGATACAAACAAAGATTTCTCTGCCTGCGCAAAAGATTCACAAACAACTAGGTGTAAAAAGAAAGTCCATCTTGTTGTGTTGACACACGGGTTACATAGCAACCTCGGGGCGGATATGCTCTACTTGAAAGAAAGCATCGACGCTGCCGCAAGGGAGACCAAAGAGAAAGCGGAAGATTTAAGAAACAAAAATAGGACGGCACCAGATGGATCGTCAGATAGGTGAGTGTGCGCTCAGGAATAGGCAAGATGTGTATTTACACATCTCTCTGATTTGATCTATGATAGCTGACCACTATGAGATTGGATTAGCCATGGATGCAGCCTTTGCGGAGGATGCGACGACGAAGAGACCATAGTAAGAGGGTTTCCTGGAAACGCTGTTCGTACTGAACGTGGAATCCAATATCTTGGGAAACGTCTTGCAAAATATATCTTGTTCATGACATATCCAGATCAGCCTCATATCCCTCGCAAAAACACCAAGACAAACCCTCTTGCCGGTGCATTTGGTTCATCGAAAAATGGGGTTGAAGGGCCATCTCTTGCCAACCTGAACGCTGATCATTCCTCGGAACATATAGCCCTGGAGGATCATACTTATCAAATTACAAGCATCAGCTTTGTCGGACACTCCCTTGGCGGTCTCATACAAACCTACGCCATTGCATATATCAAGAAACATTCCCCCGAATTTTTTGAAAAAATCAAGCCTATTAACTTTATTGCTTTGGCAACCCCATTCCTTGGACTTAGCAACGAGAACCCTTTATATGTCCGTTTCGCCTTAGACTTAGGTCTTGTTGGCCGCACGGGCCAAGACCTCGGCCTGAGTTGGACAGCTCCCAAAATGCGAAGTGGCTGGGAATCCATCATCGGTGGCAGAGGCGATTCTGGGAAAGCAGAGGGCCGCTCAGACGCAGGGTCAAAGCCGTTATTGAGAATTCTGCCATGCGGACCAGCTCATGAGGCACTGAAAAATTTTCAACGACGAACTGTCTACTCCAATGTGGTCAATGATGGGATCGTGCCCCTGCGCACATCCAGTCTATATTTCCTTGACTGGAAAGGATTGGACCGCGTTGAAAAAGCTAGAAGAGGGAATGGAATTGTTGGTACCATGGCCGAATGGGGTTGGGCAGAATTGACGGGCGCAAACTCGCAGTCTCCACGAACTACTTCCCCAGCTAATCGCATAGAACTGAAACATACAGAGGTAGACAGTAACGAAGTTTACGAAGGCGTTTTGAGAGCGGACCTACCTCGACAAGAAGGCACTGCTCCCTCTACGGATGGTAACCAATTGCCGGAACATCAATTGCAGAAACTGGCAATATCCAGCATGTCTGCGGATACAAAAGCGAAGGAAAACAGGATCAAACCTACATCTGCGTCTGAAAGTCCATTGAGTGGCTTGTTCTCCATATTTCGACCAAAGGAGGCAACGGAGTTCCCCTCAGGACATAAGGAAAACAAACTTCACAAACGGAGCCAGACTCTCAAACCTGACGACGATATAGAAATTCGGGCATCCTCGACATTTTATAGCCATGAGTCAGTCACTCGTACACGCCCTAGCGATGAATATACACCCCCGCGAACTACATTTCTTGAGTCCGCCGGCGATCTCCTCATGCCGCCCTTGCCGTCCGCTGAATTCATAGCCGATCCTGCTTCGAGGCCTCAGACTATTTTCCATGATCGTGTCTATCACCCTGACGACATCCCACCCCCTCCGATCACAGATCGACGGGTTATGACACTTGGTTCTACTGCCAGAAAAGCACCAAAGCCACAGCCTGATCACCCCGAGGCCTCCCACCAGGCCCAAAATGGGAAAGGATCATCTGAGCATGGGCTCAAGGTTGAGGAAAGAATCGCGAGGGCTTATCATCGTGATCTGTCGTGGCGCAAGGTCCTTGTCCGACTCGAACCAGATGCACATAATAATATCATTGTTCGGCGAATGTTCACAAATGCCTATGGTTGGCCGGTGGTTAAACATCTTGTTGACAATCACTTTAGGTTGGCCTCTCCAACCCAGTCTAACGAAATTCCTATCGCCCATTCAGACCAGGCCAATTCAGGCATGACAGGAGCAGCCGATCCGGGCCTCGAAGTTCCGAGTCGGTAGGAGGATTATTCTTGCAGATGGGCCTGGGGCCGATATTGTGTATATAAAACCATTAGTATAATTTATATTATCAGAGTCTACCTAGTGACCATGTACAACGATGTCCTTGATCATACGCATTATTGGCAAAGTGACGAGACAGGGTCATTGAACAGTCGGTGTTGAACTGCAAGATACTTAGTTTGGGCGTTAATTTTTGGGGCATTAACATAGAGCACTTGTGTAATCAGCTATATAGATCAATGACAGCAAAACTGAATTACAGGTTCTGTCAAAAGATGATAGTATGTATATTTGATCTCATTCTTCCAGGGCTGTGGGAGCTGTGGATACAATTGCTCTGCGGTATGACCACTTCCTGCATAGAAACCAAAGTCTACTCCCTTACTCTCTCCCAGTCTGATGGACTGATACCGTACTTGGTTGTCCATACCTGCGTTCCATTGAGACATGAGGGAGAGAATTGTTTACTCATTTATGTGTCTTTTTGCATGTTTATGTGCATGTACAGCCATATATTCAAACCAAATCTATCCGAGCCTAGGAATGCAGGAAAATTGTCCCCCCAGCCCTCGTAAGTCATGATATGATACCCTTTCCCCCATTTTGTGTTTTTGAAATGGCCTGTCTATTGACCCCCTCGATTTTTTATCCTGCCACGCATGGATCTGTTTGTGCCTTTGAATTTAAGCATAACCGAGGATGAGATACTATGGTGGCACATCCCCGAAAAGATAAGGCCCAGTTGGGTTTTTCAGACAACTAGACTTTGGTCCCCATTGGATGTACATCCGCGCCCAAGAGGTGTAGAGAACTCAGAACAGCTCCACGACCTTCTCATCTTCATTCACCTCTAGATTTGGGACCGTATCCGCACCTTCAATCGCTTGAGCACCATTTTCCTCGTCACCTTCATCTCGCTTCAGGACCTGGACCAGCCTGTCACATGCCTCACGAACTTCGTCGTCATCGACGTGGAGGTGGCATTCACGAACGATAGGGTAAACCTGAACGGCTCTCATTTTTTCCCGTCCTTCACGGGTTGTTGTTAACAGCAACAATGTATCGAGATGCGTGGCAATGATTTTGGTGTCGCTGTCTCTCTGCTTGTCGGGGGGCAAAAGTTGGAGGTCCGGCAACATTTCCAAGGCTTCCTCTTCCGCAAATTCCTCTGGCCCCGCAATAGGGAGTAATATGTACGGAAGAAGGTTAATTTCGTCCTCGGAGAGCAGCGTACTGTGGAAAGAAATGTCAAATGCAACATTCTTCAGAGTAGATGCGACTCCCTTCCTCCGGATAGTGCTTTTGTGCTCCGTGAAGACTATAAGTTTTGAGGCAGGTACTATATTATCATAGTCTTGTTTGGTGGTAAAATATGCCCGGCCTTCCTCCGATTTCGAGATGTCGGCAAATAGATACGACAGATAGTCGTAATTAGCATTTTTGTTCAAGCTCCCCTCAGCGCCTTTCACGAAACAGTCCATTAGCTGGTCCATGGCGTTGGCGGAGGTAGATACACCCTCGGGGACCCGTCGCTTGAGTGTGAGAAGTCGCTTCATTGTATCCGATTTAGCAAGATTGGCGAACAGCATCAAGACATCGTCAACATTGGGTTCCTGCACGTTCTTCTGGGTGTTAGCACCAAAACCCAGGAAGACAATACCAAAGACTTACCGTCGCTTTAGCGAGAAGAGTTTCCAGAAAAACGTCATCTTCTGCAAGGGTAGCCAGCACCTCCCCATCGGCAGAGAGATTAATTAATATTGTAAGAGCATTTTTTGCGATAGGCTATGTCCAAGGCAGCGAAATCAAGCGTCAAGTCAGTAAGCCGAGATTTGCTAGTTACTGTTCCCAGTGATCTGAGGATTCTCACAGTGTAGTCGCGAACAAGGAGTTTCAAATCCCGCACTGGTAGAAGTTGATGGCGTTTAAAAAGTTCCGGCTGGGCGGTTGAAAACCCGACGAGATTCTCGCACGCTAGACATAGACCCATTAGACATATCCTACATATGACACGCGCAAGACAGGCGCGCATGCGTATGCTTTAAACCACTAGGATTGGCATTACCGATTTGTCGGATTTGGGTGTTTCCATGATGAAGGAATTCCACCAGCTAAGATGCAAGAAAAATTTTAACCAATGTCAGCCACGCAGTCTCTCAAACTTTTTGGCTCCAATGAACTTGATCACTCACCTCTTCTAATTCCGAGGGCATGTTTGGCAAGAAAGAGCTATTATATCCCAAATCCGATGTAAAAAAGGTCACGGCCCTCTCTAGGTATGCACGAGAAGAAAGCCCGTCGATAAGAGTCGCAGGAGCTTTGCCCCTCTTGTCTTAGGCGGGGTGTCGGGGCCAATGTGGGTCTCCTGTTATGGATTGGATACATCCGTCACAACCGCATAGTTGCGGGAGCCACCACTTGTGGCTGGTGCTGTAAAGAAAGGGCCTCAAAAAGGGAGGGAGGGGAAATAATTCATTTTAAGTGACCAAGTAACTGAGATTCATATACTTGATATACTGACGCGCTAATTATCTCTAATAACAAATTCTTAATCTGGTGTTCGTGAGATTTCATCATAGTTTCCCAGCGGAGAAGCCCCGAACTGCGGCTGCAAACCGCAGCTAGCCTTAAAGCCGATGACTAATGAATCGTGAGAAAATGCTGAAGTAATCAACTCTGACGCTCAATGAGTACCTGGGCACCTGCGTACACCTCCTTCACATTTGTCGTCCTTCATCCTATCATATCTTTAACCGATTACCACCATTATCGGTGTCTTTCAGCATTCCGCTTTGAACTTTAACTCTCTCGCCTTGGACTCGATCAGTATCTCCGTCGCCTTGCGAGACATGTGTCTCCGAGTCCCGATTTCGAACTCCCGATTTTGATTGCGTCCTCAGCGGTACCATGAGCACGTCTACTCCTGATGCCAATGTGCGCACGCCAACCGGCTCAAATGGAGCCCCGCCCATGCGGATACGCCGCCCGAAAGCAGCTGATCCCTTGGTACGGCCGAAGAAGAGAGTTACCAAACCGCCTGGCCCGACGTCAGCAAGGAGCGGGTTGGCAATGAAATCGCTTCCTCCTCGACCTGCTGCGATCAACCACTCATCGGGGAGTCAACTCGAGAAAGGAAGACAAACTCCGTCAGGCGATCTCTACACAAACGGGTTTAGTGGCCCCTTGTTATCGGAATCTTATGTAGATTACCCTTTAGTGACCACGAAGCGAGCGTTACGAGAGGGCTTGAAACACCACATAGCGAAGTTTGCCTCTAAAAAAACGATTGATCCCCGCGATGAGTCTCAGTTCACAAGACCTGTAAGGCTACAGCGCCGAGATCCGAGGGCAAGGTTCCAGGCGACGAATGATGAGAAAGCCCAAGGACTCCAGCAGACGCCTGATGATTCTAGCAACCAAGTGGATGAAGCTGAAAGAGATGATCTGGAGGTTCGCAAAGCGGCCCGTGAAAAGGAACGCGCAGACAATCTGGCACAGATAGCTCCTTCAGCTGGGTCAGCCCCTAAAAAGTCAAATGCGCCGAAACAAAAGACGCAGCAAGTTTCCAAAACAGATTTTACGCCGGAGGAGATCGCTAGGACGCGAATTAAATACGAAGAAGCTCTTCCGTGGCATCTGGAAGACTTTGATAATAAGAACGTTTGGGTGGGAAATTACGAGGCTGCTTTGTCCGAAACCCATGCAGTTTTTATTCTTGAAAATACGGGGAAAATGAGGATGATACCAATTGAAAAATGGTACAGGTTCAATGCGAAGAACCAGTTCAAAGCACTAACCATCGAGGAAGCGGAAAAGTTCATGGCCAAGAAGGTGAAAGATCCGCGATGGTTTATGGAAAAACAGCAGGAGGTGGCACAACGCAAGGAACTGGAACAATTTGCAAAGCAGCGTAAAGTATATGCAGGTAAACAGGGCGCGGCGTCCGGCGTCGAGGGACTGGAGGGAGATGAAATGGACTTTGAGGAAGATCGGTTTGCCGACGACGAAGAGCACGATGACCTTTTCAACGAGGATGAAGATGCCAAGGCAGCGGAAAAACGGATTAAACAAGATCAGCTGAAGGCCAACGTGTTCGATCTTAAAGATGAGAAAGAGTATGAGGAAGAGGAGGTTAGGGAGAAGAAAGAGAAAGAAGCTCGCCGCGTTCTCGGCAAAGGGGTGCGAAAAGCGCTCCAAAAGAGAGAAAAGAATTATGATTACAGCAGTGGCTCTGATGTTAATCCATACACCGACGAGGAGGTAAGATCCACCTCCAAATCAACTTGTATTGTCGCTAACCCAATTTAGAGCTCCGAAGACAGTGAAACCGAAAAGTTGAAGGAAGAGGAACGCAAAGCAGAAGAAGAAAAGAACAAGAAGGAACCAGCTGCTTCTTCGAAGGGCAACAGTACACCGTCAAGCCGGCATAAACATACCGATTCTTTCAAGAAAAGTGCAGCTGCCGCATCTCGAAAGCGGTTTGGTTCTCCAAATATGTCAGATGCGAGTGGGACAGATACTTCCCGCAAGAAGGGGAAGGGCAAGCCTGCGACTTCCCAACAACCAATCTCTCGCCCCATGTCCCCTACAGTGTCTTCGCCAGGAGCGGTAGGTCCAGCCGGATTTGTTTCTATACCCGGATCTGTTACTGATTCTAACCAGGTTGGTAAGAAACGCGTTCGGAATGTACCTACAGGTGGCGCTGGCTCAGGCAGTGAAGCCGATGCTGGCGCAGGATCGGGCGGGGAAATGAGTGAGAGTGGAAAGACGAAGAAGATCAAACTCAATCCCCCATCGACCACACCTCGAACTGCCACTCCACAAGGATCGAGAGCCGGTAGCCCTGCACCTTTGGCCGGTAGAAGTTTTTCAGGCAGCCGTGCCAGCAGCCCAGAGTCAAATAGAGGTAAGTGTCATACTTTTTTTTTTTCTTTCTTTCTAACAATGCGTCCTCTTTTCTAACTGCATATCAAGGCCCAGCTCGTCTTTCAACGCCAGGGCCATCAGGCCAAGCATTCCCAACGCCCGCAGAGATTCATGCCGCAATCCCTCAGTCTGGTATCATGAGCAGTGACCTACTGAAGATCTTCCGCCCTCGCATCGGCGACTCCAAGGAAAACCATCGGAGGTTCATTGCGATCGTCAAGGACGTTGGCGTGTATGGGAAAGAAGACAGGCTCCTACGACCAGGGTCGTTGAAGGAAGGTTGAGGCCGCTAGGGTTGTCGCCAATTCAGGAGTTGCCTTGATCGGGCCGTGGGTCTCAAATCTTAGTTGTGTCTAGTATAACAAATGGCCATACATAATCACGTTACATAACATCACCGCGCAGTTGCAATATTTGCTTTTTTTTATCCTTGCTTCTCTCTCCATCTCTTCTTTACTCGCAAACGGCAGAAAGTTCTCACACTCGTATCATACCAAAACACAAATGATAGATAGCCATACGCCTGTCCAGCCACATGCACGTTTTCACCGCCTAGAAAGCTATTTCTACGTAAGATATGACGATGGAGATACTCTAAGTAGTTAATAGTAGATTGGATGACATAACTGCAGACAAAAAACAACTGCACGAACTATTTCTAAGCTAAATTACAATAAGAATTGACCCTGGTCTATATCAGGGGGAACGGACGGAGCTTGTTGGGACGGAGTGCATCAGACATGAGTGTCGAGCTAGGGCACTGAGAGTACAGCAACAGGTCAATTTCGTTAAGCTGGGGCGGTGGTGGTGGTGCCCTCGCTTCCCTCTTCGAACTTCTCCCAGTTGGCTAGGATGTGAGCGATGCGGGGAGAGTTCGTCAATTTGTAGACTTCCTCGAAGTATTCCTTTGTGATTTCGAAGGGCCGCGCCGTCACGTTGGGAATGTACTTGCCGATTAATTTGCTGGGGTCGATGGTCGTCTTGTTGATCTTCTTGAGCAGGAACGAGCGGAAAGGCTTCACTCCTGAGCGAAGGAAGGTACTGTGGAAGGGGACGTCGATTCCTTTCAGGGGGATCGTCGCTTGGCCACGCTGAAGGTCGATAGGGCGCGGTTTGGCTTCGGTGATCTTCACACACTCGTGAATGATGCTCACGAGATGAGTCTTAAGATCTTCCAGAGACATGGTTTGCATCAAAGAAGGAATGTCGATGTTTTGGGCCTTCAGGTGATTGAGGAGATTACCCAGGCAGTCAAGGGCACGGAGCTGCTGAGTGTTAGACAATCACGTATAGATCAAGTAGGGGTTGATGGAACTTACATCGCCAGCAGCAACGTACTGCATGTTTGCAACGTTGTAGTTGACGATTTCCAATAGCCAGCCAGTTTGCTCAGTGATGTTCTCTACAACATACTGCAGGGCCTGCTCATTGAATGTTTTCGAGATGCGACTGGGGTTGACAGCACACATGGAATAGTTAGAGCGTCCCTGCTCATCGCGATCGACGGCGACCTGCATGGTCAACCCGCGGTAGAACACCACGGACACCAAGCTTTCAATGGGCATGACATCGGCAAGAGCAGCAAGGGCAGAATATTCACCAAGCGAGTGCCCGGCGAAGCTGCTGTCTCTTTGGACCAGTCCCTTCGAGCGCATGTCTTCAAAGCTTGCCTTCTCCATCAAGGTCAACGCCGGTTGGGTGAATTGAGTCGCGGAAAGAAGGCCCGACGGAGATCGATAGGTGTACGACGAAGTGGTCTCATCGATGCCCTTGAAGATCTTTTCAGACTTGATAGTTCCGTCAGCATTGACCGACTCGAAAGTCATCGCCATGTAGTTCTGACGGATCGCTTTGCCACGCGGCCCACCAAAGTACACCGTGAGCTCCTTCGGGTTGTTTTTCACGATATCGATGATGGAAAGGCCATAATTCTCGATGAAATGGCGGTCCGCGCGGTCCCAAACCTCCCTTGCAACGGGACTAGTGCCGTAAAGTTCCATTCCCATCCCCTGCTCCTGCGAGCCCTGTCCAGTAAAGACATAGGAAGTTACAGGCTGTTCAACCTCTGCTTCTCCCAGGAGCACCTTGTCTTCGGTTTCCTTGTTGCTAGCCTCGACCTTGATGATTTTCCGACCAGCGATCATACCAACATGCTGCAGCTTGACCGTGATCATGTCGTTAGGAAGAACCATGCCGACAAGAGACACATGGAAGCCGCGAACACGACCGATGTTGTTCTCAGCAGCCCAAGTCTCGACGTAGCTGCGGACGGCAGCACTCGTGTACATGCCGTGCGTGATCGTGCCCGGCAGATTGGCGTAGCTGGAGAAGACTCGGGAAACGTGGATGGGGTTATAATCACCGGAAACACGAGCATAGGTTTCATTGGATGCAGGCGCACGCAGGACAAGGGGAGTCTTTCCACTGAGGGGAATCGGGTTTTCAAAGTAAACGGGTTGCTCGATCGACGTTCCGTTTCTTTGCAGATAATCGATCACAGGGTTTCCATGGGAGGTGCCGGCTTCATAGTCCACAGATGCAACCTGGATGATCTCCTTGGTCGGAAGTTCTAGAAGAACCTGTCCGACCGTTTGTACGCGGCTGAAAACCGACGTGTTCTTGAATCTGATCAGACTTTGAAGACGGAAGGTCAAAGTTTGACCCAATAGCTCGGCACTAGGGTCATCCATGCGGAACCATTCCTTCGACCGGAGAATGGCGACATCCCTGCTGGAGGCGAGGTGCACCTGCATTGGAACCTCATCTTTGCGCTGGAAGGTGTTGTCGAAGTCCAGATACGCTCCGCGATAAAGGAACTGGCTGGTGACATGCATGATTGGCTTGCCATCTCTTTGGATGGTACCGCAAACCTCGACCATTTTTCCAGAATCCTGGTTGATGACCGAGTTGATTTGGGCGGTCGTATCAAGCACATCACCAACCTTGAGGGGTTGAGCCCCAGGGACCATCTTGAACCCGTTGGAGAGGTGGACCAGTCTCAATAGATCACCGTCAATCGTACGAGGGAAGATCGGTTTCGTAATGGCCTTCCATCCCGCGACGATGGCGAAGTCCATGGGCGCAAAGACCTCCTTGCCTGGGCGGTCAACAAAAGCTTCACCGGTGTTGCCAACAGCATGCACAAAGTCTGCAACAGCCTGCGAGGTGATGGTTTCGCGACCACCGCTGAAAGTGGCCGTGATCGGGGTGTCAAACGGCACATCCTTGTTACCAAACCAGGCGCGGTAGTAGAATTCTTTGATGCGATCATTCCGTCCGTCCATGACTTCTCTGATGGGCGCATAGCCCGCCTCGGGGTGATAGGTGAACAAGAATGACAAGGGAACAACGTCATTTTCGGCAGTTCTACCCTCATACAAGGTGAGGCTGATCTGGTTCTGATCGTTCATCTTCACCTCAACCGTCCTGACGAGTTTTCCGGACTGGTATGGTTCCCTGACGATGATGACTGTTTTGGCGGGATCCTGTCCGTTCGTGACCTCAACGTACATCCCCGGCGCCGGAGCAACGATGCGCTTCATGGGATTGGTCTGGAAACGATGGCCTTGGACAAAGATATCGGACAGGAACACAGCATGTCGCCATGAATGGGATGGGCCAGCAAGTAAACGCAACCAGCGCTCAAGCTCGGGCAAGTCCGCTGAAGGCGAGGATGACAGTCTGTAGCAGGACTTGTTGGCATCACCGGAGATTGTAAGGCCGTCAACATCCGGCTCCTCGGTAATCTCACTGAGATGTCCTCCAAAGTATTCAACGGCGGGGATTTGCGATTCATTGCCACCGTAAACATCCTTGACCAAGCTACTGATGTGCCCCTGGTGAACACCGCTCAAGATGTCATGTACCGGCTCGTCAATGATGTTCGAGAACTTGGCAGCCATCGGCCCTTGGAGGATACAGGTTCTCCCCACGTCCTGACCCACAACTGCCTCCAGATCCTCACTCTGCCATAGCGAATCCTTCTTGAACCAATATTCGAAGTTCTCGTCGAGCGAGGGAACGAAAGGGACGGGCTTTTGGCCGCGACGTTGGCAGAGGAGAAGGAAATGCTGGACGTCCTGCGCGTTGATGAGCTGGGTCGCAGCCTCCGGGTAGGCGGCCAGGATATGATCGACGGCAGGATACGGGGTGTCGAGGTCGGTATAATTCTGGAGCAACGACGGTCTGCCCTCATTGGTGAAGCGCTCTTCGACGCGACGGATGAAATCGCCCGTCAACTTTTTCAGAGAGGCGTCAATCCACCGGCTTTCATGGGTGACATACATGAGCTCAACCATACGGTGAACGACTTCGGTGTATGTCATGTCTTCCAGATCAACGGTTTCACCCCCAGCATTGCGACCGAACCATACTTTGTGGAAATCGTCGTTGAGCTTCTGGATGATATAGTTCCGTTGCTTCTTGAGCTCAGGCACACGCTTGGCTTTGTCGAGTTTGAAGATTTTTTGATCCATCTCATGCCAGAACAAAACACCTCGGGTGGCTAACTTGTGGATGGGCTCCCCCATCTCCGACAGAACCGTGACAACCCCACCAGCAGCGCCCTTGTACGTCTTTTCCCAGTCTTGGTCATTGAGACCAGGTGCCTCTGCGATGGCCTTCTTGGCGTTCTTGGACGTATGCGCTTCCTTGGCAATCATCATGCGGCTTCCGAACAAGCAGCCGTCGAAAGGCATGGGCGGGTAACCGTAATGGGAGGACCAGGCGCCCGTGAGATAGGGGTAAGTGTCCTCCGAGCCACCGAAGCCACTGCCGGCGACAAGAATGATGTTCTCATAGCGCCTGATACGGCTGTACATCTGCAGGATGGGTTGGTGGAAGTCTTCAAAAGAGTGATGTCCGCCACCACGGCCACCAGTCCACTGAAGGATGATGGGGAACTTGGGATTCGCCTTTGCGATGTTGATGACTTGCTGAATGGCATCGGTCGAGCCGGGTTTGAAGGCAATATGCTTGATACCCAGGGTTTCGATGTACTCATTGGCGACTTCAATGGACGGCACTCCCGCGCCGATGGTCAGTCCCTCGACCGGAACCCCATCGGCCCTCAATTTACCAATGAGAGGGATTTGCCATGCCATAGCGCGGGGGTTGACATAAATCAAGTTGACCGTAATGCCACGCCCCGGCGGGATCGCTTTCTCGATCTTGGAGATGGCCGCGGTCATGGTCTTGGCGTTATAATAACCACCACCGGCAAGTTCGACATGATAGCCTGCGTTCATGGTCGCCGCAACGAAATCCCAAGGCACCGTGGTCGGCGTCATCCCCGCGACCATGACCGGGGGGATACCTAACAGTCGGCTCATCTTGGTATCGACGAAGGTTTGGCCAACGGCGTTCTTGACCAGACGCGGTCCATATTCTTTCACCCAATCGATCGCATATTCGACCGAGTGTTCGTCACGGTCGAACAGCTCTGGCTTGTACCCGACTTCGCCGTTGGTACCATCAATGGCCCCGGCAAGCACCACGCGAACGCCGGTGCCGTCCTTGTTGCGGTTTGTCAAAACTCCGAGACCAGAGATCCCCCCGGGGCCGAAGTCAAGGATGTGAGTCGCACCAGGGAAGACGGTGGCCTTCTCCCAGCTGACGGCATCATGGGTGATCATCCGAACCAAGGCGGGCACGACGTTGGCGGTCCCAAGGTTTCTGAGGTCATCGCCGGTTTTGGTGTCGTATACCGGGATGTTGAGCGATTTCCCGGGAATCTCCAGATCCTCCAAATCCTCGAGGATGCGGTCGTAAGCGGAGTACAAGTACTGGCTGTGGAAGGGCGCGGTGATGGGAAGGAACCGGTTGACGAAGCGAACTTTACGCTGCGTGTAAGGCACGCGGTTTTGATCCAAGCCCGTTGCGGCCTTCACCTTGCGCAGACGCAGGTTGAGACCATAGAGCGAGATCGGCGGCCCCGTGACGACAAAGTTACGAGCGCTGTTCACCAGAGAGATCGAGATGTGGCGATCCTCCGGTAAATGCTGATTCGTGGTGTCGATGTGCTCCTGGACGGCGGCTTCGGGGAGGTCGCGAATGGATAACATGGGCGATGGGACGCCCTCCCCGTTCTCGACGGAGTCCTGCAGCACGGAGGGAGCGAGCGAGGTCCGAGGGTACGCTTGTTGGCTGCGAAGACCGATCCAGAACAGCATTGTCAAGGCATCGTGGGCGACTTTGCCGAATTTCTCCCATGTTGTCGCGGAAGCAATGGCGGCCGCGGTCACGATCCCCTGCGAGTGACCCGTCGTCCCACTGAACCTCTCCAGGATCTCCCCGGGCTCTTTGCCCAAGACTCTGCACGTGACGACGAAATGGGCCAGTTGAACCAAGCCGATCAACGGCAGACTCACTGGGGCCGAGACGAGGTAGTCGGTGTCCGGTTGGGAGTCGGGGTCCTGAAGCCACTTGATGATATCGAGGCCCTTGGGGTAGAGTTTGCTGGCTTCTGGTTCCCGCGACAGAGTCTGGAGCAACTCGGCCGAGGACGTGACCAGACCATCGACGAAGGACGGATATGTGGTGTGGATTTCCCTGAGTTCGTCAAAGTATTCCTCAATGTTGCCCTGGCCGCCGAAGATGGAATACAAGCCAGCCTTTCCGTCGGCCGCGGCTCGGAACAACGCCGAGTCGTAAGGCTTCACGGGCCGCCCGGCAGCAGCTCGCCCGGCATAGTACGCCTTCACGACCAGAACCTTCTTGTCGACAATCCCCGGAAGACCGGCGGCAATGGCATGGACATCATTCCCACGCATGAAGGCGCGCTCGAATTCATTGAGGGCCAATTTCAACACCTCCATATACGTTCCATGAACACCATCCTCGCCCTCTTCGACCTCCTGGGCGACGTGACCCACGTATCGAGCCACCAGCTCCTCGACGGAGGACGGTTCGTCATCCTGGGCGAGCTCATCTGTCGGCTGTGGTAAAGAGGCGATGAAGGTATCTTTCAATTGGGACGCGTGGAAGTGCAGAGAGGTGGGCACAAGGAAGGAGAATTCCAGGGATCCGTGAGTCAGGATCAGAGGCCGCAGTGATTGGGATGAACGTGGGGTATTAATGCCCGTTTGAGGGCCGGTCGATGTTCCATACATCTCGTCGCTCGTGTCTGATTCCGTCGCTCTTTGGGGTTGCAAGTCAAACAAGGAAGTGAAGTAGAAGATATCTGCGATGGAAGATTGGGTGTTAGAGATCGATCTTGGAGAATGGGAAGAATTGAACAAGTGGTGGCAGACGAAGACACGGGAAGTAAGTATATTGGGCAAAAAGACGTCAAGGATCAACGGAACCAGTTGCAAACCGAATCCGATCAATGAATTAACCTACCTCTATGCAGCAGCTGAAACAGAAACAGGAGGAAATATCTTCCAAAAACCTAACACTTGAGCCCAAAGTGGGTGATCAAAGTAGGCTCCACTTATCTATTGACGACAGGAAAGCTGTATGGGAAATCAAATAAAGATAGTTAAAAAAAAAAAAAAAAGTCTAATTAGAAGAGCGATAAAGGATAAACAAGGAGTCGGCCGAAGAAGAGGAAGGGGATTACAAAAAGGAAATCCAAGAAAGAAAGAGAGAGAAAACAAGAGTATAGAGGGGTAATAAAAAAAAAAAAAAAGGAATCAGAAGGTTCACAGTCAGAGAGAGAGAGGGAGAATGTATCAGCTTGGGGCGGGCAAGAGGAGTGAAAGTCAACGGGATGGAAGGATGGATTAGTAGAACCACATAATCCGAACCGGGTCAAAGGTGTAAGAAGGAGCCACCCGAGTCGATGGACCAGTTCCTGGTACGGTAACTCTCCATTGAGAAAGATCCATTGCAGCCTTCACCAGTGGTTGAACTGGTTGGATGAAGGACGCCCATCCAGTTGAACAAGAACCGGCCTGAAGCGGTATAGTGGGCAGTAGTACTCCCCAAAGGTCTAAAACGGTTGGGCTGGACCCGCTGGAAGGTACCTGAAATCAGTTTACATAAATAACATGCAAATGCCAGTTGACTGGACTAGTAATCTTGTATCGAACGGTTCCTGACGGTTCCATGCATGGGGGATCCGGCAAGCCGATGACGACTAACATCTAAGGATCTGACCGCCAATCTGAAACTAACGCGTAGTGTCCTCTGTCAGTCAGTAGGCCGAGAATACTCCATCTTCGGATATAGGAGACTGGCAACGTATCTGTAGTATTTCTTGAACTGTACCTGATACTAATACCTATACTATACCTATGCGAATAGGTACCTGATACCCAATGTATGCACAGTACTACCAGTAGTACCTGCATACCTACCTGACTTCCTCTCGTCCTCGTCGTATGTAAAAAGATTACCATATACTTGAACCCAACCAGTGGGGTGGACTTCTTTCGTAATCTTTTTTTTGTAATTTTTTTTTTAAAAAAAAAATATAATTTTCTTTCTAGAATTTTCATGATTTCTACTACTTTCTTTTAATTAATTTAATTCAAATTTTTTTTTTCTTTTTTTTTTTTTTCCTTTTAGGCATGGTTCAGCGGCTCTCCATTCCCACCTGGTGGTTGTCAATCTCCGTACTGGGCCGGGTCTGCTCGCCCCAACACTCAGCAAAAGCTCATCCAACTGGTGAGCTTGTTCCCACTCCCACGCTTCCTTCCACGGTTTCCCGTCCTTTTCATTTTGTTTCTCAATTCTAGTTAGCCCCAGTGTATTTTTACGGAGTAAACCACTTTGGCAATTTCTCCCCCCCCCCACTGCCTGTGGTGTCGCTGCCCGTCTGATCATACTGGGTGAGTTCTTTACTTTCTTTTCTTGCGGTGCTTCTTGTCAATCAATCATCGCGGAAAGCAGCCCACTCCAATATTCTCCCTCTTGACTTTCTTCATTCCTGGGGTTCTGCATTGACTGTTTGCTGATGTTGGACGGTTCAGGCCTGGAATCTTTATTACTTTAATTGCAATTCTTCTTCTTTCTCCCCTTGGGACCCTCTCTCATACAATTGCTGTATTTCCCGGTTTATGATAGATATCAGTTTGGATCCTCTTCTCGCCTATTCGATTTAATATTCGCTCTCCTTCTCTTCCTCCTCTTCCTCCTTCTTCTTCTCTTTTTTTCCTTTTGAAAACGAATACTGTCCTTCTGGCCCCCCGCCATGCGGCCCGAGATCGAACAGGAGCTTTCACATACCTTGCTGGTGGAGCTGTTGGCTTACCAGTTCGCGTCCCCTGTGAGATGGATCGAAACCCAGGATGTCATCCTGGCCGAACAAAGAACGGAGCGCATCGTGGAAATTGGTCCCGCAGACACTCTGGGTGGAATGGCAAGACGGACTCTCGCCTCCAAGTATGAAGCCTACGACGCCGCCACCTCGGTGCAACGCCAAATCCTCTGCTACAACAAGGATGCGAAAGAGATATATTATGACGTCGACCCCGTCGATGAAGAGGCCGAGGCCGCCGCGGAACCTGCAGCCAGTACAGCTGCCCCGGCTGCTTCGCCCGCTACAACGGCGGCGCCTGCACAGTCCGCGCCGCCTCCAAGTGCTGGGCCGGCCGCAGCTGTTGAAGACGCCCCGGTAACTGCAGTGGACGTCTTGAGATCGTTAGTAGCACAGAAGTTGAAGAAAGGGCTGTCTGATATACCTCTGAGCAAAGCCATCAAGGATCTGGTCGGCGGTAAGTTCGTCCAATGGGAATTTGAAGATCGCAGTCACTAACTTGCCCTTCTCATCAGGTAAATCCACTCTGCAGAATGAAATCCTCGGTGACCTGGGCAAAGAGTTCGGGTCTACCCCGGAGAAGCCGGAAGATATTCCTTTGGATGAACTGGGCGCCGCCATGCAAGCGACGTTCAACGGCCAGCTCGGAAAACAATCGCTGTCTCTCATTGCCCGCATGGTGTCCTCCAAGATGCCTGGTGGCTTCAACATCACAGCAGTCCGCAAGTACCTCGAGACGAGATGGGGCTTGGGCTCCGGCCGGCAAGATGGAGTCCTCCTGCTCGCCATCACAATGGAACCCCCCGCCCGTATCGGTTCCGAGGCCGACGCCAAAGCTTACCTTGACGACGTGGCCAATAAATATGCTGCAGCTGCCGGAATCAGCCTTTCAACGCCCACCGCTGGTGGCGACGCCGCGGGTGGTGCGGGTGGCATGATGATGGACCCGGCCGCAATCGATGCGCTCACCAAAGACCAACGAGCACTGTTCAAACAGCAGCTCGAGCTCATTGCACGATACTTGAAGATGGACCTGCGTGCTGGACAGAAGGCGTTCATCACCTCGCAGGAGACCCAGAAGACCCTGCAGGCGCAGCTGGATCTCTGGCAAGCAGAACATGGCGATTTCTACGCGTCCGGCATTGAACCATCCTTTGAACCTCTGAAGGCTCGAGTGTATGATTCGTCCTGGAACTGGGCCCGGCAAGATGCCCTGAGCATGTATTACGACATCATCTTCGGCAGGCTGAGGGTCATCGACCGCGAAATTGTGAGCCAGTGTATTCGCATCATGAACCGGTCAAACCCCCTGCTTCTGGAGTTCATGCAGTACCACATCGACAACTGCCCGACTAACCGCGGAGAGACCTACAAGCTCGCCAAGGAGCTGGGCCAGCAGCTCATCGAAAACTGCAAGGAAGTCTTGGGAGAGGCTCCGGTTTACAAGGACGTTGCGGTCCCCACTGGTCCGCAAACCACCGTTGACGCACGAGGCAATATCGACTACGAAGAGGCCCCCCGTGCCAGCGCCCGCAAGCTGGAGCATTATGTGAAGCAGATGACCGAGGGCGGCCCTATCTCCGAGTACAGCAACCGAACCAAGGTCCAGAATGATCTGAAAAGCGTCTACAAATTGATTCGCGGACAGCACCGGCTCTCAAAGTCTTCGCAGCTGCAATTCAATGCCTTGTACAAGGAGGTTATCCGCGCTCTGAACATGAATGAGAATCAGATCATGTCCCAAGACAAGGACGCCGCGAAGAAAACCGGTCGCAGCAATGTCAAGCGCAGCGGTGGTCCCCGTATGGGTAAGGTTGAGACCATACCTTTCTTGCATCTCAAGAAGAAGCTTGAGCACGGCTGGGAGTACAATAAGAAGCTCACGGGTGTCTACTTGGACGGCTTGGAGTCCGCCGCGCGGTCAGGCTTGTCGTTCCAGGGCAAGAATGTTTTGATGACCGGTGCCGGTGCCGGTTCCATTGGAGCAGAGGTCCTTCAGGGCCTGATCAGTGGTGGCGCCAAGGTCGTTGTGACCACGAGCCGATACTCCCGTGAGGTGACCGAGTACTACCAGGCCATGTACGCTCGCTTCGGTGCCAAGGGGTCGCAGCTTGTGGTTGTTCCCTTCAACCAGGGCAGCAAGCAGGATGTGGAGGCCCTTGTTGATTATATCTACGATACAAAGAAGGGGCTTGGATGGGATCTGGATTTCGTCGTTCCGTTTGCTGCCATCCCCGAGAACGGTCGAGAAATCGACTCGATTGACTCCAAGTCAGAACTCGCTCACCGCATCATGCTCACCAATCTGTTGCGCCTCCTCGGCTGCATCAAGGCCCAGAAACAGACCAACGGGTTCGAGACTCGCCCCGCTCAGGTCATCCTCCCCATGTCCCCGAACCACGGTACTTTCGGTAACGACGGGCTATATTCCGAGTCCAAGCTTGCATTGGAGACCCTTTTCAACCGCTGGTACTCGGAGAGCTGGAGCAATTACCTCACTATCTGCGGTGCCGTTATTGGATGGACTCGCGGCACGGGACTGATGAGCGGTAACAACATGGTGGCGGAGGGAGTTGAGAAGCTTGGCGTTCGTACTTTCTCGCAGCAAGAGATGGCTTTCAACTTGCTTGGCCTCATGGCCCCTGCGATTGTCAATCTCTGCCAACTGGACCCGGTCTTTGCTGACCTCAACGGTGGTCTCCAATTCATTCCCGACCTCAAGGGTCTTATGACCAAACTCCGCACCGATATCATGGAGACGAGCGACGTTCGCCAAGCCGTGATCAAGGAAACCGCCATCGAGAACAAGATTGTCAATGGAGAAGACAGTGAAGCGCTCTACAAGCGGGTCACTGCCGAACCTCGCGCGAATATCAAGTTCGAGTTCCCGAATGTCCCTGACTGGGAGCAAGAAGTCAAGCCTCTGAACGAATCTCTCAAGGGCATGGTGAACTTGGACAAGGTCGTGGTTGTCGCTGGTTTCGCAGAAGTCGGGCCATGGGGTAACTCCCGAACACGCTGGGAAATGGAGGCCCACGGCCGGTTCTCACTCGAAGGTTGCGTGGAAATGGCCTGGATCATGGGACTCATCAAACATCATAACGGTCCTCTGAAAGGACAAGCCTATTCCGGCTGGGTCGACGCCAAGTCTGGCGAGCCAGTAGACGATAAGGATATCAAGCCCAAGTACGAGGCCTCGATCCTGGAGCACACTGGTATCCGGCTTATCGAGCCCGAGCTCTTCAAAGGCTATGACCCGAATAAGAAGCAGCTGCTGCAAGAGATTGTCATCCAGGAAGACTT